CCAGACAGTTGGCGGCTGAAAGGAATGTAAGGGAACAGGAGCTACAGCGAGCTCTCCGCATAGCGGAGCAGAATTTAATCCATAACCCAGGCCAGGAATTCTATGAGAAACTGCTGGGCACGGCAAGGAACGATCTGGGAGAGTGGGGAAAGTGGAGAATGCGAGGACTACAAATGCGAGCAAGAGTCAGGGAATGGGAGGAGGGAGAGCGGATGGCAAAATATTTCTTTCAAAAGATCAAAACCCGAGGAAGAAACAATTCAATCGAACAGCTTGAAGGCCCTCAGGGAGTTGTTTCCGAAGTGGGGATTTGGTGTCGGTGGCTCACAACTTCTACAGTAAACTCAACACGTTAAGGGAGCCTGCTTTCTTTCTTTCCTGGTTGTAGCAAGCCAATTATTCTTGTACAGCCAAGTTGAGAATCACGATTGAGCCTCTCCTAAAATTTCGTCCGAACAAGGCATCCAAGGGACCAATAGAAGAAAAAAATGTCCAACGCCGTGGGGTAGCACTAGGCCCAGCCCTTGAAAAAAAAAAAAAAAAAATTGCTCGCCCCCAGTCGGGCCCTGTCCTGAGTCCCCTAACTTTTCGGAGCGGCTCATTTGGATTCTCCAGATGTACTGGTGGTTTAAGTGAAAAATCAGTCTGGTTCTGGTCTTTGTAAATATGTGAAAGCACAAGCCTGATAAGGGAACTGGATACCACGTTTGGAAGTTTGGATCCTCTGTGTCACATTCCTAGTCTGAACCTGCTCATGTTGTCCGATTTGTCCCCTGCTCTCCTCTCTGAAAAACTCCCTCCACCTTCTGTGAACATCCACCCATCCTTATATCTGATCCTACACCTACCTTCTGTCTGCATCTTGTACGTTTTGAGCCCCCTTCTTGACCGTTCTGTAAACCTCTCCTGTCGTCTCTGAACCTCCTCCCTTCTTTTCGACAATTCATGCCATCTCTCCAAACCTTTTATGAACTCCCTTCCACCTTTCGGACCTTCTCCTACCTCTTCTGTAAATCGCTTTTGCTATGTCCAAAGCTCCACCCAATTCCCGTGCCTTGCCATGGTGAAAACATCCCCTGGTGAGAGAGATGTCCTTATGGTAGTGTGCCACTGTCCCTCGTTTCGTTGTGTGATTCATAATTTGTGAGGATTTTACCCCTTGGTATACCACCATAAGGCCGCTGCAGCAGGTGCGTGCCCGCCCTAAGTGAAGGCGGGCCCCTGTATATGAGCCCTGAATTCGTCATTTTTAAAAAATCTGTGGTCGCCAGACAGTTGCCACTCCGGTTGGTTACATCCGCCTTGCACGTGGGAATCTGAAATATTTGTGAGCCATCCGGGCTCTTCCAGCAACGTGGGGAAAACAGGGAACACCGCGCAGGCTGCTGTCTGAACGGGCCTGGGTGCGGACGTTTTGGCGGAACTCTAGGCTAGAGGGCACGTGTGTCCCAGCCAGGCAGCAAAGCTGCGAGCACTTTGCATTTAGGAAAGTGCCCGCCATGGAAGCAGGCATTTGGGCACGTGGAAGTGTAAGCGGCAGCGCTGCTGTAGCGTGAGCTCGCGGCTGCTTGCTGAGTGCTCGCGCAGGTGCCAGGCCCACGCGGGCGTCGGAAGAACAGGGCGCTGCATGAGGGCAGCGTCATAGCCGGAAGAGGCTTGGATGGTCAGTGGGATAAGGCGGTGGTCATTGGTGGAAGGGGCGATGTGGGTGAAGAAGACGAGGGTGAGCGAAGGGGGGGAGATGAGGATGATGATGTGAGAGCAAGTACCTGGTCTTGGTGATGGTCTGCATCGTTGACATCTGCATGTGCTTCGGTTGTTGCTGCTGATGTCAACTGGTTGCTTCATCACTTTTTAGGATAGGATAGAGTAGCTGTGTGGTTGTAGTCTGGGCGCTGAGCGCCAGTAGGAGGGAGAGCTTTGATTGCATTTGTGGTGGTGGCGAGAGTATGCTTTCTTTGACAATTGAGATCGCTGCTTTGGTTCTCCTTCGGTGTGATATCAGTGCATTTCTGCTTTCTGGACAGCATTCGACTATCTGGCTCAATTGTGATTTTGCGATCTGGAATTCTGTCATTCCGCCATTGCTCATTTTCCTTGCAAATTCTACATCTCTGCAATACACATGGGCCACATGTTGCTCGTTTAAAAAGGGTGACGGCCTTGAGATATTGTTCATCGAGTTGACCGTCCCCTGGTATTATTTCATTGCGTTCATCTCGGTTCCTCAGGATTCGAACTCAGGTTTGTATTTCAGCAGTTCAGGGGTGTGCCAACTGAGCTAGGCTCGCTGGTCTGGGCCACGTATTGCATATTTCCCCCCTCTGTAAATTGAGGATGTTTCAACGGCTCCATTTTGCCAGCAGAGCTGTGTTTGGCAGTCCTTTCTGTCGTTTAAGGGAAGTCAGGCTGCAATCGAGGGACAAAGATACCCGATTGGACATCAGTCGTCTCTCTTTACACGTGTGGAATCCTCCGGAAACACTTTTTTTTATTTTCCATTTTCTTTTCTCCCGAAATACTGTTCGCTCCTCTGCAGTAAGGTTTTCCACTGTTGAGTTGAAACTCGAAAGCCAACATGACCACCACCCTACTTTCTCGAAAAAAGTTTTTAAGTTGTTCCAGGTCTATGCAAAGTCAGATGCCGAACATTAACCGCTTGTTTCTGCGTGTTCTCACACACATCGATTGGCTTGCTCTTGCCTGTACTTCTTTCGAAACCAACCAGCTGACAGTGATCCAGCGACAGCAGGGCAGCATCATTCTCCACATCATATTGATTCCGCTTACAGGGTTGTCGTTCTCCGAAGATGAGATGGCTCGCATCAAACAACAGCTGGAGGCAGGGAGTGTGAGCGCCGCTAATGGATCAGAAGAGGGTTCCACTGCCAATCCGTACCTTGTGGAGATGGTACAAGAACCTGTTGGGAGAAATGGTGAGGTCGCTGTGGAAGCTCATAGCCAGTCATGGAGTGCTTAACTCTGCTTCTTGTGCTTGGTTACTGCGACCTGTGTTTACTGAAACCCTGTGATGCCTCGCCGGGCTTGTATGAATTCCAATACTGCGGAGATTTTGTACCAAACGCAATGGCACAAGGCCTACCTTGGGAAGGGTTCAAGCAGTTAGCATTAAATTTCCAAGGGTTGATGAAGAGAGCCTGGAAACCTCCAGAGAAAACACTTGTTTGCTTAGGGATTAGAAACGTCACTACATATGCCGATTGTGTGTCTACATCTCCAAGGATCTGTGTTATGCTCAATGAAGGGAAGGAGAAAATAAGAAAAAGTTTCCCGGAGAACTTCTCTGGAATAAGAAGGATGATCGGTTAGGGATTCGAAACGTCGCTACATATGCCGATTTTGTGTCTAGATGTCCAATGATCTGTGTTATGCTCAATGAAGGGAATGAGAAAATAAGAATGATCATCGGTTATCATGCTGCACCTCATTTTTGCCCCTCTTTTCCCACTCGACCTCCTCGTGGCACTTCTCTCCCTTCTCCCTTCTCCCTTCTCCCTTCTCCCTTCTCCCTTCTCCCTTCTCCCTTCTCCTATTCCTCGCTATTCCCTTCTTCCCCCAATTCTGCTTAATGACAACTTCGGTTGTAGACCTACTGTCTTCCCTGGAATGTGTTATGTCAAAGTTTCCCTGAAAATTTGGGTTCATAGGACTCGATATCAAAAATTCAAATTCAGTGGTTCTCTAGAGATTCAGCTGATTTACCGTCTCTCAAACCATGGTAGAAGGGAGAGAGAAAATAAGAAAAGAGGTCAGGAATTCATTTACGGTAGCCACCTTCCCTCCYCCCCCCCCCCCCCYCCCCCCCCCCCATAAAACGCACACCTTCCTTCTCACCCTGTAGATGTTTCCATTCAAAAATAGTGCTGTCAGGTGATCTGGGAATCGACGTAAGTTGAAATGGTGCCAAGGAGGGGTCCTTTTTACTTCCTCTTTTTTCTTGGACCAGTTCCCGATTTATGTTTGTCATCCTTGCACTGCGGCCATGCTAATCTCTCTGTATCGTAAATGCTGTTCAGACTGGATGTTTTGTTCGACATTTGAAAGAGTATAAATGAAATGTTTGCAACTTTGCACCCATGTGAATCTGGTAATATATTATACTTAATATACTATTAATAGTCTATTATGCAATTTGCTGTGTGATCATGTGGGTTCCCAACCTAGTTATTCTAAAGGACTTGTAAAGAGCTGCTCTCTAACGAAACAGCCAGGTGCAAGAGTAGCCACCACAGGGACTTCTCTCAGTTTGCTCTGGATATCTATTTCCATCCTTTTCTCACTGTAGGTTCTGCGTAAGTCTGTTTTCTTCATTTTCTGCGGTGGAATAGGAACTGGACTGCTGCTCCCCAGAATGGATATGGAGCCAGGGCCATAAGGACATGTTAAAAAAAAAGAAAAAAAAGGGAAGCAGGAGAGAGGAAACCAAATCATTTCAAGCCTTCACGGTTAAAAACATGATCCGCCAACCGGTGCAGCCCAGTTGGTACAGCCCGGAACTGTTGAATGACAAACCTGAGTTTAAACTTCACTGGAAGCCGACGAGGAAAATACTGGTTTCCTCTCTCCTGCTTCCGTTTTTTTTTTTTTTTTTTTTAACATGCCCTTATGGCCCTGGCTCCATATCCATTCTAGGGATCATCAGTCCGGTTCCTTTTTTTTTTCTTTTTTTTTTTTAATTGCGCAACCTGAATGGGGATCCGGGCCGCCCGGGTGACCGCCAGGGGCCCGGGGGAGGTCCCGGGCGGCCTGGCCGGGCAGGGCACCCGGTTGGGGGCCAGCCCCCCCCAGCGTACTCACCTGTCGAGGGATTTCGGACCCCTTTTCGGACCCCCTTTGTGTGTGTGTGTGTGTGTGTGTGTGTGTGTGNAGAGAGAGAGAGAGAGAGAGAGAGAGAGAGAGAGAGAGAGAGAGAGAGAGAGAGAGAGAGTTGGCCGCTTGAAGAGATGTAAAACTGCATGGGCCATGTGAGCCCTGTTAAGGGGATCCGTTTTGTCTCTCTTTCTTTCTCTCTCTCTCTCTCTCTCTCTCTTGCCCCCCCTTGTATACACACACCCCGTACAAAAAACAAAAAAAGGGAAAAAGCGCATCTGCGCCAAAATAACAGACACCCCCCTAACCCCAGCACCCCCCACCCAGACCAACCCCCCCCCCCCCCCAAAAAAAAAAAAAAACCAAAATTTTATTGCAGATTCGGGGTCCTCTCGCCGAGCGCAGAACGACCGGGCAGTTTTTTGGCCCGCCCGGTTTACCCGGGTGCCCCCCCCGGGCCCAACCGGCTGGCTGGGCCCAGCCGGGCGGCGTCCTCACTCAGTGTGCTACTACTTTTTTTTTTTTTTTTTTTTTTCAAATAGCATGCTTCATTATACGTTGAGTGAAAGGAGGCTGGGAATCCCTCCACATCTCAACCCGGAAGACAGACCAATACCCAGATCAGACTCATACAAGAAATCGGGTCCAGTGTCCCTCTTCACCTATTAAGATGCTATTCCTGAACAATTACAAAACTGGATTAAGAACAACCAAAAAGAAATAAAGGAAAGAAAATTCCAACCTGCCCCTATTATGCTCTTAGGAGCCGAAGGACTACCATTCCTACTCCCAGGTTTCTTTCCAAATATCTCCGACTCCTTTCTATCCGCTCTTCTTAAACCCTAAACCCTATGCCCCTCTTTCGGTCTTAGAAGGGTAACTAAAGGACACAGATCCTACTCACCAAAGAATTAGAGTAGTTTTTACTATGCCTCCTTAACTTTTGACTGCCTACTTCGCTCCCGGACTTTCCGTTCTCCATTAAAAAAAACAGTTTCCCTCTCTGAATACTAGCTACCGCCCCTTGGCCCAGTAGGTTCTGAAGGAATCAGGCCCTATTCCTCGTCCTTCTCCGGGTGTTGTTTGCATTGATTCCCCACCCTCTTCCATTGCGCTTGCAGATCGGTTTCAATCAGGAGCATTTCCTTTGCCTCTTCCACCGCCAAGTCAAAATTACAGTATGAATAGCGTCAAGCTTCCTTCCATCTGGCCGAAGGAACCCTGAAGCCAAGGTGAAATTGTAATCTGCAGATTATCTGCCAATATTTTTCTTAGGTTTGTTTGGTTTGACTAATCCCTGCCTGGTCAACCTGTTTGTTTGCAGCCCCAAGTTTATCCCAGTGGGCTCCAACAGCCCCTAAGAGGGCCAAGAAGAAAAATGCTCTGGTGCTTCCGACATTTGTGCTGCTTAACATCATGCTGGCCTCCCTAGTGGCAGGAGTGGGGTATTGCGTTTATCGGCAACGAGGGTGGTTTGTGAAGCGGCAAGGATTTGTCAATCTTGTTAGTGACAATGTTTCCAATGCCGGGAGCTTTCACAGTCTGAAGAGCCAAGGCTCAAATGGTGATGACGTCGAAGCTCAAGGCAAGTCTCTGTCTCATTCCTGTATGTCTGTCTCTTTCCTGTGTCTCGACTGCATATGAAGTTATCACATCATTTACTACTTAGTTGGTACTTGTCTTTTGTGTGCACAATCTCACCCATAGGTTGGATAATGGAAATGAGTTGGACCAGAATGTTCTTTCTCTGTGAGTCTGTGCACAAAAATTAAAAAGCAAAAACAAGGCTTAAACCGCCAGTACGCGGCCCCAGCCTTGCAGAAAAAGCAACTCGTCGCCACCATACTGTAGCCATGGCGTAGCCTACCGGACCACAATGGCTGGCAGCGCCAGGTGAAAAAGGAAAAAAGTGTGCCGCTGGCGGTTTGGAATAAGCTTGGCGTGCAGTTAGGCGCCTCCAGGCCCATGCATGCTGGTGGTTTAAGACGACGCTTCCTTGTGTGCCTGGATTAAACCGCGAATAGAGAGATGCCTGCGAGTGGCTTTCAAGGACGCTGATTGCGGGTGATAATACCTTTGTACATCTCATAACATCTCCTAACGGTACGTTAAGAAGAAGAGTAACCTCTGAACATGAGGAATGCTCTACCCTGAATCGCCTCCTGCTTAAATAAGGCTGGTTTGACTTGCTTGAATCTGGGAAAACTCTTTGATGCAGACATTATAGAAGAAGAAGATAAGGCATGAGGAAAGTGGTCATCATCTGCTGCTTCTCTTTCTTTTCTGTGGATTGACTTCATGCAGGGGGCACTATGAAAACGAGTCGCTCAAATGCTATGGCTGAACTTAAACAAATCCAGGAAGGCATCATGGCCAAGGCGTTCCGATTTCAGGAGCTATCAGCTGCCACTGGTGGCTTTGACAAGAGCCATCTGCTTGGGTCCGGAGGATTTAGCCGTGTTTTCAAAGCAAAACTGAAAGATGGACAGATTGTTGCAGTGAAGATTCTGGATCACCGTCCTGGCCACCAGGAAGACAAAGAGTTTTTGATGGAGGTCTGTTAGCCCCCTACTGCTCACTGTACCATTCCACACTGTGAACTTACTTCATTGTGTTAAATTGCTACTCGTTATGTTAACTCTACTCCGTTCCGTCAACTTATTCTGCGTACCCTCTTATGCTTAACCTTTTTTTTTATTATCTTGTTAACCAAAACGGTGTCATTTCATTAATAGCTTGAAATTTGAGGCTGGGGACCTCACAATTCAACCCGGAGTTATCTTGGCTGCATTAGCCAATTTCACTTATGTTGTAATCAGTAAACCAAATCCCTGTTCCCTTCGTTAATCCCTAATCCCCCAACTAATCCCCCTATTGCTACCTTCTTTTCCTATTTCCTTGTTCGAAACTTAAATAAGCCCCACCCTAAACCCTAAACCCTAAATCCTAGCTATAATCCCTACTTCTCCTGCTCTTCCTACTTCCTCCTTTACTGCTTAAATAGCCTACTCTACCCACTCTTTCAGGCCTATCTACTTGTCTAGTTCTACCTTTCCTGTTGTCCCCTCTTCTGTCCCCACTTCCCTTGAAGTTTTAATTCGTTCCCGGCACTCCCCATTTAAATGAAAGCCTTGGGCCGTGCATGGTAGCCAGTTTTTCTCCTCCCAGCACCCTTCGGTTAAATCGGGTCCTCAATTCCTGTGGTTGCTCTGGGGTGCGGTCTAATTTGCCTTTGCACCCTTTTTTTTTTGTTTTCTTCAAAGAGCAATTCATCACTGAAAAATAGAATAGAGGGTCCGGTCACCCCACATAAAGGCCGGGTCTGGGAGGATTACCCAGTGTTATGCTTTTAACGGGACCCTCAGGGACCCGGGAGGAGGGGCAACCGCCATGGGTTCCAAACCTCCTTTTGCTGTTCTTAAACCCTAAACCCTATCTTTCTTGCTCCATGTCTTCTGCCCTATCCTACTTCCTCCTAATCCCTCTCCCATTTGTTAAATAGAGACTGTTTATCATATTCTGCTGCATTATCCTATTCTTAGAACCCTAAACCCAATCCTTGCCAACTTGCTCACTATCTTCTGCCCTTTCCAACTTCCTCTTATTTCTTTTTATGCCTACCAAACCCTTTACTGTCTGACCTCTATGGCTTCACCTCCTTCTGCTGCTGGTGTTGGGACTCTACTGGCATACCCAAGTGAAAAAATCTGAGGTTGACACCTTCTGTAGTGGTCAGCTTTCCTCTACTTAAGGTTCCTTGTTCAAATCTGACTTTTATTTCCTTTGCTCCCATGCGATTGCCTGCCATCTTCTTCCTCGCCCCTTTCCACTGAGCATGTATGTCGGTTTCCATCAGGTTAATTATGATTTCCTATGCCTCCTTGTCCCCTTTCTATGGTTCGCTGGCGTCTCCTCCTCCACATTGTCCACAATGTGTACTGTCTCAGCAGGTTAACAGTCTTTCTTTCATACCCTTGCCAGTTCCTTGGCGTGTCTACTACCATTAGTAAGGTCGCCATATCCTCCAGGAAGGTGACATCTGTGATTTTGGCCCACGCTTCTTTTGCCATCCTCCATAGTTGCTGGGCATTAATGCAGCCCAGCAGGCAATGTTCTACTGACTCCCTCTGTTCCTCCTTGCATACCACACACATTTCATTTTGGGGACTCTTGTTTTCTTGATTCCTTCTTTTGTTTCGCCACTCGTTGACCGGGAGTGCCAGGTGGATGATTAACCACTGCATGGCTCCAACTTCTTAGTAACTTCTAAGTTCTTACCCTCCCAAGCCTGATGCTGTTCAGCCCTGACCACGGAAGGGGTTTGAGTCGTGCTGGTGATATACCGACTTTATCCCCCCAGCGTTTCATTACTGAGTCCTCTAGTGGGTGAGCTCTTGCTCTAACCTTGTACTCCAGCTTCGTTGTGTAATTGAGTATGTTCGTTATGAGTGCCACGTTCAGTCTTCCTCCTCTCAGGTTCGAGTCCCATTCCTCTGGATCTAGCTCCAGGTCTTCCAACCTGGTTGTGGGGCAGTAAATCGTGAAATCCGTGGTCTTCACAACCCACACCTTCCTGATCAGGTCTGTTCTCACTGAAACCTGAGTTTTTGAGTCATTGTTGAGTCTGCTCGTTGTGGCTCCTGGTTCTTCCATCTGGTCCATATCGGTGTTCAACTAGTCCTGTTGAGGACCCTCCCTACTGTGGACTCTGAAGGCTACCTTGGGTTCTTCGTCGTTGCGGTTCTCTAATAGCTTGTGGCTGCCTTTGATGTCCCTTCGTAGCTCTCGTGCGGTTTTCTATCGTTTTCCTTCCTCTGACCATAAGTGCTTTATCTGCCACACTCCGTGGTCCAACCGTGTCCCCCATCTTGAGTCCTGGGCTGATAAAGTTCTTGGTCTCCCTCACTCATCCTTTAGCCATTGATTGCCAAACAGTGGCTGGCATAAGACTTCTTCTCTTGTTCTTGGCTCGTGAACCTTAGCTGGGAAGATGTCACTCCATAGCTTGAGTAAATGGCGCCAGTAGTTTCCCCCTCCCTCTCCCAGGGTATTTTGCTCTCTCCTATTCCCTCCTTACCCTGTCTCCGCCCAACCTTTACATGTGAACCAGAAGAGTCCCGTCATATTGTGTGCAGTTCTGTACGTAGCTATTTCTTCTTATACTTGCTAGGGCCAGTGACGTCCAAGGTAATCTGTTGCACCTAATCAATTTGATCACCCATTTGGGCTGCAGTGCCTGAATTTGCCGTTCTGGGTCCGTTATACCTAAGCCCCCGTTCCCTTTGTTCTTCGTTACATGCTTCCACCCTACCTTTGAGATGAACCGTTGTTTGTCAGCGTTAGCTGCCCACAGGTAAGCTGCTGCCTTTCTTCTCAGTTTCGAACCTGCGTTCGGTAGGGAACTCCATATCGTTCCTGTGTACCAGAGCATTGAGAAGATTGAGGCGTTGAGTACCAGCGCCCTGCTGTATCCTGAGGTGTAAATTGTCGACCAGGAGCCCAATTTGGCTAGCATCTTTGCTAGTAGTTCGGACGCCATGGAATGATGTGGGCCCGTCTCTGCCGTTTTGACCCCAAGGTATCTCAATGGCTCAGTCGGATCCAACCACTGCAACCCTTCCGTGCCTGCTGGTGTTCCTGGGCCTTCTAACTCATCCTCCGTCAGCCACCAACCTACCGTCTTTGGCCAGTTGATCCTCATCTCTGATGCTAGTTGAAACGCATGCATTGCTATGGTCAGTGCTTCAAAAGTTGAATCCAATGCCCTAATTAACACTGTTAAGTCATCCGCAAAGAGTATCGTCGTTGGAATGGAGATTTCTCTACCTTGCTGGTCTGGCTCTACGATCAACCTTTGGATTGACGGGTCTTTTCTTAGGAAGGAGGCTACTGCTTGCATTATAACTAGAAAGACTGGAGCTGCCAGAGGGTCTCCCTGTCGTACTGATCTCCACATTGTGCCTGAAGGTCAGTTTCGGGGAGTCCTTAGTGTATCTCTTCTGCCTCCTGCCTGTGCATTGGTTTCTTTTCTATGGTCACCTGGCACCGTATTTTCCATATCATCCATATTATGCACTGCCGTAGAAGCTGGAAGATAGCTTTTTCGAACGGTTGCCAATCCTTCGCAAGATTGCTTCCTAGCAGCCGCGTGACGATGTTCTCTGGAAAGGCCACCGATGTCATCTGTCCCCAGAGCGACTTAGCCATTCCCCATAAACTCTCTGCTTATGGATGTTATCAAGCCGTGGAGCATAGTCTCTAGGGTGTATACCACGCATTTGGCCTTCAAGGGGTCCTGCTGTGCTCGACTCCTGCGCTCGTTTAGCCAAGTGATTACCGGTAGCGCCACTTGGGCTATTAACCACTGCATGCTTCACACCCGTCCGAGCCTTATGTTGTTAATCAAAGACCATGGTATAGTGCGCAGCTTCTTGGGGGGAACTCCCATCCTGTTTTCCGAACTCTTGGACAGCGATGCTCTCAAGCGGTGGGTCCGTCTTCTCAGACGGTAGCCAACTCACGTGGTGTAGTGGAGGATCTGTCTCTTATACACATCTAGATGTGTATAAGAGACAGGGTGTATACCACGCATTTGGCCTTCAAGGGGTCCTGCTGTGCTCGACTCCTGCGCTCGTTTAGCCAAGTGATTACCGGTAGCGCCACTTGGGCTATTAACCACTGCATGCTTCACACCCGTCCGAGCCTTATGTCTGTCTCTTATACACATCTAGATGTGTATAAGAGACAGACTCTACACTCTGCGTTCGCTGGGTCTCTCCTTGCCTGACTCCTTTTTTTTCGTTTAACCATTCGTTGACGGGCAGAGCAACATGAGCTATTAACCACTGCATGCTTCACACCCGTCCGAGCCTTATGTTGTTAATCAAAGACCATGGTACAGTGCGCAGCTTCTTGGGGGGAACTCCCATCCTGTTTTCCGAACTCTTGGACAGCGATGCTCTCAAGCGGTGGGTCCGTCTTCTCAGACGGTAGCCAACTCACG